ACGCTGCCCCTTATAGGCCCGCCAATGCCCAGGCAGCTATTGGTCCAGAGTGCCTCGAGCAGACCGAGGCCTAGAATCCAGTTTCTGATTGGCTGTTGCTTGACCCATGGAATGTGGCGCTTTCTGATTGGATGACGGCTTGGCGGGAAGGCTGTGGGGTCGAGGAAAGTTGAGTGCACATCCGGGTGTTCTGGGGGCATTCTCCAACTTGAGATTAGAGTGGCTGGGGTGCCCCCCTGGGTGGGACACAGGACACTACCTTACATGTAAGATCCTGTCAGCATGCGAATGGCTGTCGTCTCCTCGCCAGACACCACAGGCCCTTGCCTCTTTGCTTCTTATACAGGTCTTTGCAAACATGGCCACATCCTAGAGGTGTGACTACATTTATCCAAAGTATGCACCCTCTCTTTTCCACCTCTTTCGGGTGCAGAAAAAGGCCTTTCCCAGCCAGCACCCTGAATTTGGGCAGGATTTGGTTACTTCTTTATTGTTTTTTTTTTTTTTTTTTTATCCTCACCTGAGGACACTTTTCCATTTTTTGTTCAGGTAGAGTGGGAGGGAGAGAGAGGAACAGACAGAGAGAGAGAAACATCGACGTGAAAGGGACACATCGAGTGGCTGCCACCCGCATGGCCAACCAGGGCCGGGGACAAACTGCAACCGAAGCACATACCCTTAGCGGGAACCGGACCCGGGTTTCTCTGGACCGCATGACGCTCTAACCGCTGAACCAAACCGGCCAGGGCCTTTATTGTTTTTCTTTACTGATTTTTTTTTAGAGAGAGAGATAGAAAAATAGATGAGAGAGAACAACATGTGGCCGCCTCCTGCATGCCCCCTAGTGGGGATTTGGCCCACAACTTGGGCATATGCCCTGACTGGCAATTGAACCAGTGACCTCTTGGTGCATGGGTCAATGCACCACTGAGCCACCCTGGCAGGGCTGATTACTTCTTTAATGAGGAATGGGTGTCCTAGGACAAGGGATGGGGGTATGCAAGAGCTGGGTTGTGGCACAGAGCCCATGGAGGACTTTGGAACAGTCACTTGATTCTTCCATTCCGTAAAGATTGACTGAACTTTCTAGTGTGCGTTTTTTACTTGTGGGAAAAGTGGGGGCAGAGGGATCTAGCCATACCCCCAACTCACCACCATAACCAGCACTCTGTTCTGGCGTTCCAGCTAGACCTTTAACTTCTCGGTAAAGGAGAGTGGGGAACCTGCCCTCTGACGTGGGAAGCACCAGACAGAGGAGTTGGAACTTCTCTGTAGGATTTGGGGAGCCTCTGAACAATACCATCAGGTCTGCTTTTGGAAAGATGGCATTGGTAATAGGGAGCAGGGGGATGGAAGGGGGTGTGTAAGAGAAACCAGGAGAAATCCTCACTGCCTCTTCTCCCCATGGAAGTGAATCTTTGTCTTATTCAGGTTGGGTTGCCATAACTATATACCACAGACTGAGTGGCTTAAACAACAGAAATTATTTTCTCACAGTTCTGGAGGCTAGAAGTCCTAGATCAAGGTCTGGGAATGTTAATTTCTGGTGAGGGCTTGCTTTCTGGCTTGTAGTGTCTTGCTGTGTCTTTACATGAGAGAACAGGGAAGAGAACAAGCTTTCTGGTGCCTTTTCTTTTCTTTCTTTTTTTTATCCTCACCCGAGGACATTTTTCCATTTTTTTTTGTTCAGGTAGAGTGGGAGGGAGAGAGAGGAACAGAGAGAGAGAGAAACATCGATGCGAAAGGAACACATTGAGTGGCTGCCACCCGCACAACCCAACCAGGGCCGGGGACAAACTGCAACCGAGGTATGTGCCCTTAGCGGGAACCGAACCCGGGTCTCTCAGGACCGCAGGCCGACGCTCTAACCGCTGAGCCAAACCGGCCAGGGCCTGGTGCCTTTTCTTATAAAGACACTAATTCTGTTGGATCACAAACCCACCCTTATTACCTCATTTAACCTTAATTACTTCCTATCTCCAAATACAGTCACATTGGGGGTTAGTGCTATAAGATATGAATGGGGGAGGCACAATTCAGTCAGTAGCACCCTCTTTACCCAGGGCTCTAACCATGCCATGCACCAACTAAATTGTATCCTGTATCAGGTTGTGTTTTTAAGCACTATTTATTTTTCTGATTATGAAAGTAGCACATACTTAGAGTATAAAGTGTGGAAATGCAGAAAATATTTTAAAAAATTAAAATCAATAAACCTATTAACAGGGTCATTTGTGTGTGGGGGGGATCTTCTTCTGTGGATATATTCATCCTTTAAAAAAAAACAACATAGTTTGGATCAAACAATATGTGTTCTTGTTGTTTTTGTAACAGCTTTCTTGAGATATAATTCACATGCCATACAATTCACCCATTTAAAGTGGTACACAATTAAATGGATTTTGGGCCCCGGCCGGTTTGGCTCAGCGGTTAGAGCGTCGGCCTGCAGCCCAAAGAGACCTGGGTTCAGTTCCCGCTAAGGGCACATCCTTCGGTTGCAGTTTGTCCCTGGCCCTGGTTGGGCCCTGCGGGAGGCAGCCACTCAATGTGTCCCTTTTACGTCGATGTTTCTCTCTCTCCTTCCCACTCTATCTGAACAAAAAATGGAAGAATGTCCTTGAATGAGGAAAATAAATAAATAAATAAATAAATAAATAAATAAATAAAAATAAATGGATTTTGGTATATTCAAAGAATTGTGCAACTATCACCACAATCAATTTTAGTATATTTCAAACATCCCCAAAATGAAACCATTCTCTTAAGCTGTCAACTCCTGATCCATCCTATTTCCCCAGCCATAGAAACTTCTACTTTGCCTCTTCTAAAAATTTTATATAATCTGAATCATATATATGTGGTCTTTTGTGACTGACTCTTTTCACTTAGCATACATAATGCTTTCAAGGATTGTCCATGTTGTAGTTTATACCAGTACTTCCTTCCTTTTTCTTTTCTTTTTTTTTCTTTTTTTATCCTCACCCAAAGACATTTTTCCATATTTTGTTCAGATAGAGTGGGGGAGAGAGAGAGAGAGAGAGAGAGAGAGAGAGAAACATCGACGTAAAAGGGACACATTGAGTAGTTGCCACCCACATGACCCAACTCAGGCCGGGGACATACTGCAACCGAGGTACGTGCCCTTAGCAGGAACCAAACCCAGCTCTCTCTGGACCGCAGGCTGACTCTCTAACCGCTGAGCAAAACCATCCAGGGCCATTTCTTTTTCTTTTAAGCAACTTTACTGAGATACAGTTCACATACCATACAATTCACCTATTTGAAGTATACAATTACTTTTAGTATATTCATGTAATTGCACTACTTTACCATAATCAATTTTATAACTTTTAAAAATATTTTTTTCCTTTATTGATTTTAGAGAGAGAGGAAGTGAGAGAGAGAGAGAGAAATAGAAATATCAACGAGAGAGAACATCGATCGGCTGCCTTCTGCATGCCCCCCACTGGGGATTGGGCCCACAACCTGGGCATGTGTCCTGACTGGGAATCGACCCGCGACCTCTTGGTGCATGGGTTGACGTTCAACTGCTGAGCCACATTCAATTTTAGAACTTTTATTTTTAAATTTTTTAGAGAGAGAGGAAGGGAGAAAAAGAGTGAGAGAAACAGTGATGTGAGTGAGAAACATTGATCAGTTGCCTCCCACATATGCTCAGACTGGGGATTGAACCCACAACCTGGGTATGTGCCCTGACCAGGAATCGAACCCATTACCTTTTGGTATATGGAACCATGCTCCAATCTACTGGCCAGGGCAATTTCAGAACATTTTTATCACCCCAAATTTCATTCATTTTTATTGCCAAATAATATACCATTGTATGGGTATACCACCTTTTATTTATAAAATATGAATGGGGGAGGCACAATTCAGTCAGTAGCACCCTCTTTACTCAGGGTTCTAACCATGCCATGAACCAGCTGAATTGTGTACCACATTTTATTTATTCATTCATCAGTTTGGGAGCATTTGCACTTTGATATTATGGTAATGCTGCTGTGAACATTTGTGTACTATTGTTTTTTGTTTGTTTTTAATTCTCACCCGAGGACATTTTTGCATTTATCTTCAGATAGAGCACGAGGGAGAGAGGGAGGAAGAGAGAGAGAGGAACATTGATGTAAGAGAGACACATTGACTGATTGCCACACACACAACTCCAACCGGGACCGGGGACAAACTGCAACTGAGGTACATGCCCTTAGCGGGAACTGAACTCCCGTCTCTCTGGTCCGCAGGCTGACGCTCTAACTGCTGAACCAAACCGGCCAGGGCTACAAGTTTTTTTGTGGACATATGTTTTTATTTCTCTAGGAGTGGATTTGCTGGGCCATATGGTAACTCCACGTTTAACCTTTTGCAGAACTGCCAGAAAACCATGTGATTTTTTTATCCTGATTTTCTCACTTAACGTTAATTATGTGCATTTTTACAAATTGATCTCTGTACTTTGAACACTTGGCTTTCAATGTTTGTAGAGTTCCAAACTGTAGTGACCAATCTCTTATTTGACATTTAAATTATTGCCAATTTTTATTATTATAAACAGCATTATTTCTGTAGAGCAGATTTGTCAGATCATTGGATCAAAGGACACAGGCAGTTTTAAGGCTCTTGGTGCCTAATGATAAATTGCCTTCCAAAAGAGTTGTGACAGTTTGCATCATGAGTTTGGGAATGCCAGTTGCACACTGCCTTATATTTTAATTGTCTCCTGAGGTCACCAGAGCAGTGACTTGTTTGGGCATCTTTGACCCCATGCCCAGCTCAGTGTGCAGCACATAGTACGACTTCGTGTTACATGAATGAGTGAGAACAGGAAGGCCCAGATTAGTGCAGTGGTCGGGAATGGAGAAGAGAGTACAGGTGTCTGAATCATCGTGAAGTTTGGCTCCAGAGGACTTACCACCTGATTGACATGGGGACTCAATGCAGACTCAAGTGGTAAGAACACATCGTGAGGCCACACTGCTCAGTCATTTCGGGGTAGACACTGGTAGGGACGGTCTCAAGACTGCCAGTAACTCTTTTTTGTACTCCACTCTGTGCACACCAGTCTTTATGCAAAGCCCTGGAAGAATTACTTTCACTGAGGTAACGAGGTCATCAAAATCTCTGTTCACCTGGATATCCTGAGGAGAAACCAATGATCACTTTCTGAGAACTTGACTTTTTTCTTTACACACACGAGGTCTTAAAGAAGCTGCTTAGGAGAGCTTCTCTCCTATGGATTACTCCCCAAATTATTAAAATCAAGAAGAGAGGGTGCTCAAGGGAGGCTTCTAGGAACTTGCTCTATTTCTTGAGCTGGGGGCTGGTTATGTAGGTGTATCCTGTTTGTGAAAATTCACCAAACTTTGCCTTTAATGTATATACGCTTTTCAGCATTCTCAATAAAAAATGAAAAAAAAAGGGGGGGTGCTGGGGAGAAGAGAACTGTGTTCTCTGTACTGGACCTTTCCAGAGGGTGTGTCATCTCATCCTACCTTCACAGTGTTCCTGAGTGGTAAGTGTTAACCTCATTGCACATAAAGATAAGACTGAGTTCTGGAAAGGATTTTACAAGAATTGTAAGGATTCAGAAGTATTTCTCTTAAAGCTGAGGATAAAATCTGAGTCAGATCAGACTAATGATAACAGTTAAGGAACAGAAAAATAGAATAGTGCATCTAGACTAGGGTTGATCTCTAATTCAGAATCCAAGATCCCATATGATAGTCTCAGGACTTGGTTCCAGGCCTAATTCCAAATCCTGTGGTATTTTCATTATATAAAAGCTTCTGATAATAACCATACATTGTATCAAATAAGCGTGTATTTTGGCAGGACAAATTTATATATCATTCCATTTTGTAGAGTGATAGAATCCACTGGTGACAGGAATTCTCAGAGCAGAGGGAACATGATCATGGCAAGCTATTCTCTGGCTTTGGAGCCATAAAGAGCAGGTAAGTAGAAGGAAAGAATAAGGGTGTTTGAAACCAGTTGTCCGAAGCCTGAAGGACTGGAATTGGAAAAACGTATCTCTGAAAAGACTTTGACTCAGGTCTGGGTTGAAATAAATCAGGGTGGAATAAGCAGTGATTTGTGACTTGACTTTCTTTTAATAATTCATATTTGGGGATTCTCTTCTAATGTTAACTGCCTTAGGGAAGAGTGACATTTATTTTTATATTAAAAAGGCAAGCCATGGTCAGTTTTGCTCAGCGGTTAGAGCATCGGCCCGTGAACCAATGAGTCGTGGGTTAGATTCCAGTCAAGGGCATGGACCTCGGTTGTGGTTTGTGCATGAGGCAAACAGTCGATGTGGCTTTATCACATCGATGTTTCTCTCTCTTGCTCTCTCCCTCCCTCCCACTTTATCTGAAGATAAATAGAAAAATGTCCTCAGGTGAGGATTGAAAAATAAAAGAAAGAGGCAGAATTGAATGAAAAGGGGTCCTGATTCCCTCATAGTCACACAAATGAATCTTCCAGCACCAAGATTCCCCTGCAGGCAGTACAGGAAGGGTGGGGAAGGGGGCCGCCTTGCAAGTGCTAAACCTGCAAATCCAAATAGCAGTGAACAGTGAGCATTGTTGCCCCTGAGCCACTTATTCTCTCTCAGCCAATGAAGAGCCCAGGGGATTGAGGTGAGACCACAGCCAGGAGCAGGAGTGGAGCCAGAGTGGTGTCATGACCTACTTTCAGGCCTGGAGTGGAACTCAGACTCAGCCACGCCATGTATCTAGGCAGGGCACTCTATTTCTCTAAGCCCTGGTCTCTTCCTGTAAATATGCTTCAGGGTTGTGGCGAGGCTCAGAGGTGAGGTTTATGAAAAGTTCTTACAGAAAAATCCAGCAGTTCCAGGGTAGACACTGGATTATCCTGGACAGACTTGAGAACACTCAAGCAGCCTTCACTTTGCATGGGATTCCTGGACACCTTTGAAATACACATGCACACAAAACTGAGAAATGCTGATCCCAGGGAGGCCGGGAGAGCACCACAAAAGGGAAGATTAGGGATTCCTCGTCTCTGATGCTATGCCTCTGGATAGCCCCACCGTCTCAGCTCACAAGTGTCTGCATCAGATAGAATGCCCCAGGTGAGGCTGCAGGGCTGGGGAAGACAGGGCGTAAACACTGAGTGCCCACCCAGTCCCTGGTTCTGCCGTACACCAAAGATACAGACACATAAGACACACCCTTGCCCTTAAAGAGCTCACCCACTTCGGGAGTAGAGGAAAAAGAAACATCATAAAAATGCAGTGTGGTAAGTGCAATGAGAGCGTGAGTGTGAACCAACTCTACCTGGGAGGTAAAGGTTAGGTGGGTAATCAAATACCTGTAAAGCTGAGCTTTACAGGTGAGGTGGGTGGAGCTGGGCATTTCAGCGAGAAGAGCAGCAGGGGCAAAGAGAAATGGGAAATTGCAGTGTGTCTGGAGAATTCCAAGGAGCTTGGGTGAGAGAAATGAATTTCAAGGCAGGAGGGAAAGGCAGGTTGGCAGAGCCCAGGTCCTGATGGCATGCTGCAGATGACACAATACTAAGCTCGAGTTTATCCAGTGGGGAGCCTCTAATGGGTTTAAAAGCAGGGAGGGACAGCTGCGGATTTCTGGTTTAGAAATATCACCTGGTAGCAGGAGGAAAGGAAGGGCCAGAGATGGGAAAGTAGGAGGGAAGTCAGAAGGAGGAGCGGGCAGCCTGAACACTCTGCAGGAGATGAGGTGAAGGAAGGAGGATGTGGGAAAGAGGGAGGGACAAGCTTCTGAGGGAGAAGGAGCTCTCTCCCTACACACACACACAAAGAGGCAGCCTTTAGAGGGAGATGATGGGTTCAGGTTGGACTCTCAGAATCCCATGTGCCTATGGGACACCGGGGAGACTATCAGCAGATGGAAATTTGGATCCAGAGCTTAAGAGAGAGGTCTGGGTTCTAGTGCAGGAATGGGGGGCATGAAATGGGGGTGGGGAGTGGGAAAGGAGTGAGCCTTAGGTGGGGGATGAAAGTATTGCAGGGGCCTCCTCTGCCAGTTTAGAGAGTTGAGGGCCAGGCAAGGCTGGATGCCCTCCTGGAGCTGGCAGTACTGTCCTCTGAGCACATGCTGTTGGCACAGTGGTTCTCATGGAACTGCTCTACCTTCATTGCACCCTGGCTTCTCTGTCTTCTGCTCAGCTGCTCCCTCCCCACCAGCAACCCTGAGGAAGGAGCCTTCTGCTGTGCATACAGGAGCTCAGGTAGGTCTGAGCAGTGGCCAGCAGTATACCTGGGCTGATCCTGGGTTCTAGCAAGGCCAGAGGAAGAGCAGGGGAGAAGATGAAGGGGAAGCAAGGGTGTCTCAATCACCATCAGTAGAGCAGTACCCTGGTGGGCTAAGAAGGAGATGTGGTGATGCCACTGGGAGAGAGGGATGGAGCAGGGAGGAGTCTGAAGAAGTGCATGGGCCAGACCAGAGATGGGCAAGTGAGTGGCAAGGGGAAGAAGTGGTAAAAGAGGGATCCAGAAGGCTCCCTCCCCCATCTGGGCTCTGGAACCTCCCTGATCTGGGCTCTGGAACCTGTATTCTCTGCTGCTACTGGGATAGGGGCATGTGACAGGAGAGGGATCTGTGTGGACAGGCACAGGCAGGTCAGCTGGGGCTTTTCCTATCAGATTAGCACTCACAACAAGAATCCTCAGTGTCTGGTTGACCCGGAGGCCCAGGCCCAGGCTCCGGGCTCCCACCATAGAGATGCAGTTGTTGCTGCAACAGAAAGACATGTGCATTGTACTACCTTCAGAATAGCTGTGCAGAGCCAGATTGTCCCAGGTTCCCAGCTGGCACTGCTGGTGCATCCTCTAGGTAGGGCTTCACTCATGTCCTGGGGACCCTGGACAGGTCAGTGTGTAAAAGCTGGATAGCAACCCTCCTTCACTGGAGAGAGATCACCCAGCAAACCTGCTTGGAGAGCACCACCCCACCCCAGCTGTTGTTCCCTGGCCTTTCAGAGCTCTGCAGATGTTCTGCCCCACCTGGCCCCTAGTACTTATCACCATGATAACATGTGTTCTGGAAAACCACCCAGCTCCCCACTACCATGTCCTCTCCTTCTCCTGCTGGGCCCAAATTTGAGGCCTCAGCATGGCACTTGGCCACTTTGTCTCTGAAACCAGCCCCATTTCTCTCTGACTTTTCAGACCCCAGCTCCGAGCTCAAATTTCAGCATCTCTCATGGAATCCTCTGGCCTTGGCTCCTTGCATGGGGAGGAAAAGAGGGAAGGACTACAGCAGACAGGCCCTGCGCACTCTGCAGCCCACAGGAGCGGTTCAGCCATGGCAGCCCAAGCATCACCTGTTGGGCCTCTACCTCTCTCCTTCCCTCTGGACTTGTGGCCCCTGATCTGGTTACCCCAAGGGCTGAGAGTCTGCCTGGTTGGGGAGGACCAGCTCACACACTGCAGGGCCCCCAGTAGCCATGTGCTAGGCAGAGCATACATGTGGGCCCACTTGTCAGAGTTAGCTTCTCTTCTGAAAGGGAGGAAAACTCACATGGAGCACCCAGCCCATGCCAGGCTCTGCTGAAGAGGCTTTACATATGTGTGCAGTTCCCTGGCCCTGCCTGTGTGGTAGGAATTATGAGCCTGGCATATAAATGATGACCTCGAGTAAAAGGATGGAGCTGGGTGTTCCTGGATTGTGGCTCAAGCCCCATCACAGACTGTGGTCAGTTTGAGAACTGAAGTGGTAAACAGCATCAAGATTACAGAGCCTCTGGTCCCTCAGGTGGCTATTGCCCACAGACTGTGACATGGGGGCACCCCGTGCTCCTCACCTCATGTTGAGTTCCTCTAACACATTGTTGGTCCTAAGTGCCTCACCCACTGCAGAGGCTCCAGGATCTCCAAAGCCATTGCATGATATGTCCAGAACTCTCAGGAAGATGTTTGCCTGGGATAGAAAAGAGCAAAGCCATGGGACCACAAGTGATAATGAAGAAAGCCAAGGCCACAGCCTTCAAGTCCAGGACACCCGTGGTGCAAAGAGCATGGACTGAGAGCAGGACAGAGGTTCCAGGGAAGAGTCTCATGGCTTGGATGATGGTGACCAGTAGAGCTGAATAACCGGAAGCACAGTACAGAGGGTGGGTGTGGGTGTGAATACCCCTGAAATTGAGGGGTCGGCATATGGCAGCAGGCCCCAGAGACACTGTGAGCAGACCCCATGCATGTTTGGGAGCCTCTCAAGGGCAGGTAAAGAGCAGCTCGGGGGCCCAAAGTTGGATGAATCCTACCCAGGGGTCTGTGATGGGGAGAAGGGCAGGAGCTTGTGGGTATGCTGGGAAAACAGACCTGTTGCCTTGTGGGGCAGGACCCCAGCTTAGCCCCTGTTGGAGGGCAAGGCCGCAGCTGCCACTCCCTGGGGAGGACCCCAGAGAGATAGTTGACATGGGGGCATTGCAGGTTTTTTGTGCCACCCTGGCAGTGGCTGCAGCCACCCATGCCTGACACCTATGAGCTACAACTATGGGAGCAGGTGGTTTGTTAGAGTGTGTTCTGGTATCTAAGGGTGCAAGAGTGTCACTCAAGCAAGCACCTGTACATGCCCCACAGCAAGGAAGTGTCACCAGACTGCACGCTGTTTCCCACCAGCAGAGTCTGTGATGTTTGGGGAAGGTGTGCAACATTCAGCTGTGGACCCCTCAGTAAGTGATGTGAGACTGGGCACAGTGGATTGAAGTCATTAAATGGGTCTGGGAAAATTAAAGACACCTAACAAAATATTCTTTCAGCTCTGCTTAAAAGACCCAAGACTCCTTTCTGAAGAGCTGCAATGATGAGGAGCTGGCCCCTGGGAGACCATCCTTCCAGGGACAGGCTGGAGGGGCTGACTGTGGGGTGGGGTGGGGATGGGGCCCTCATACCCCTAGTCCTCTGGCAAAGGAGACAGCTCCGGGGCCTTGAAGATGATTCCAGCTTATGTTAAGTTCGGTGAGTCCTGTGTTTTCTGCCAAGGCTGGTCCAAGTTTCTCCCCTTCCAAAACACCAAGACAGACTTTATTCATTCTGTTCATTTCTTCAAAAAATGATACCGATGCCCACTGTGTGACAGGTTCTCTGCTGGGCATGAGGGTCACAGAGTTGAACCCAACATGGGCTTGTCCTGCTCATAAGGATTTCATATTTAATTTTTTTTCCTTTATTGATTTTACAGAGAGAGGGAGAGAGAGATAGAAACATTGATTGGCTGCTTCCAGCATGCCCCACACTGGGGATCAGACCCACAACCTGGGCATGTGTCCTGACCAGGAATCAAACCAGCAACCTCTTGGTGCATGGGTCAATGCTCAACCACCGAGCCACACTGGTCAGACAAGGATTTCATATTTAATGGGGGAGACATAAGTACAAATGAATGGGATGTAAGCTATTATAAAATATAAACAGGAGGCATGGGAACAGAATGGGGGCTAACTCTATTTTGGGGATGGTCAGGAAAGTGAGGACAAAGGAAATAACCTTGAATGTCTGCACACACAGTGGAGAGCAGACAAGGAAAGACAAAATGTGCAGAGGCACAGAGAGCATGGGGCACTTGTGAAAATGTACACAGGCTTGGTGCTGGGGGCAGGGTGAGGGGAATCCAGTGAAGTGAGGTAGGAGTGATGAGCAATTGAGAGATGCTGAGAGGCCCTGAATGGTAGGCCAAGGGTCTTGGGCACTGCCCTATCATTGGTGAGGAGACAGGGAAGGCTTTAAGGATGACAAACCTGGATTCCTTAGTGGTTGTAGGGAATGGACTGGGTTTGGTAGAAGCAGAGATGAGAGGTTGGGGACTAGTTAAAAGCTCACGCTATAGTCTAGGCAAGAGGTGACAAGACTGGACAGGTGTAGTGCAAAGAAGGCAGTGGTGGTAGAGAAAGGATATAGTGGGTGGTGTGTGGGGGTGAGAAACTCTAAGAGATATTTAGTATGTAGACTGGGCAGAAGCCCTAACCACCCACCCAATCCACTCTTCACTTTGTCAGCATTCAACCAGTCTGACCTCTTCCAGGTCTCAAAAGTGCCAGAACCAACATACCTCCTGGCTGTCCCCCTAAATGGAACTGTCTATCCCCTTCTTCACCTGGCTAACAGCTCCTCATCCTTCTAACCTGGGCTCTTGGCATCAGAAAGCCTTTCCTGCCTGGTTGGGCCTCATGTCAACTGCTTTCATCCTTCAAGGGTCTGGCCGTTAGAACTCCCAGGTCCTCTCCCTCCAAGTCTTGCCCCAGGGTCCCTGTGTGTCTTCCCCATCAGCCTGACAGTCCCACAGGGATCTGAATTTGACCCCTTTCCATTGTCCCAGCACCTAGTATAGGTCTAGTAAGGGTGGTTTGAAGAAATGCACAGAGGAAAAACAGATGAACTAACTGAGCTGAGTGCTCAGCCAGAACACTGGCCAGCAGACACTTTTAGCACCTTGGAGAGCTCCCGCAGAACCGCGAGGACGCCCTGTGCTGCCTCCCTGAGAACAAGATCCCAGATTCCCCGCCAGCACTGAGTCTGACTCCTGCAGGTACGCAAGTTCTCAGATTCAGTATTTTCCTCTTCCTCAGACACTTCCAGGGCTGGGAGGAGAGGGCAGCGGTGCCTCACTTTGCAGGGAAGCCCCTACTTTGCTGAACAGCTAGAGGTGAGAAGTTTCTTTTCCATGCATACATAAATCGTCCTCTTGTAGTTCCAATGCTTGGCATTTGTGATCTCTGCAGCCAACCTATGAAGTAGGGGCTTCCATTACCATAGGTCAGGTGGGGAAACTGAGACCCAAGCTTCTTCACCCCTCAAGAAAGTGAGGCCCACCCACAGATCCTTACTTGGGGGAAAAAATGACCCCATTAATGTCTGTTCTTTTCCAGGGTGAGGATACCCAGCTCCATATTTGTGCAACCTTCACAGGGCCTTAGCTTCCAGCTCCCTCCATCCTGGCTGCCTCTCCAGCATTTGCCCTCTGACCATGCAGGTCAAGAAGGACACCTATACTTTGTTGAAAATCTGAAATGAGTTTCTTTTTTAATTTCACTGGCTTCTCACAATAAATTTCTTAGAGACCAAGGCTCATGCCACCCTCCTCACTCTAAGCAGCTTGAGACAGAGCAGTGATTACCAAACTTTCTGGATAAGACAAATCTGGGGCATCCAGTAATGCATGGGCATCCCCCCCCCCCCCACACACACACCAGTCTGGTTCAGTTTGTATTCCTAACCCGGGGTTCCAGGTGATTCTTCTTCTTCTTTTTTTTAATTTTTAAAAAATCCTAGGATATTTCTCCATTGCTTTTTAGACAGAGCAGAAGGGGGTGGGGGAGAGAAGGAAACATCGATGTGAGAGAGACACATCAATTAGTTGCCTCCCACACAACCCCCACAGTGGCCGGGGATCAAACTGGCAACCCAGGTATGTACCCTGTGGCCCTTCAGTCCATGGGCCAATGCTCCAACTGCTGAGCCAAACCGGCCAGAGCCCAGGTGATTCTTATAATTAACTGGGGTGGTTGGGGGCAGGCAAGTAGAACAGCATGTTCAAGGCAAAGAAGATAGCCCATGCAAAGGCCCTGGGACATGAGAGAAAGTAGTAAGATTAAAGAATTCCACTGATATTTTCCATAGCACTTCGAATAAAACCTTCATGCTTTTTGCCATGATTTGTAGCCCTTCAGCCTCCTGTTGCCTCTTTACCCCACAGCCTAGCAACTCTCCCCTGGCTCACTACCCAGGCACACTGGTATCTGTCAGTCAGGGAAATAGGCCCTCTGCTTGAAATGCTCTCCCTATGATCTTACAATGGCTGATTCCTCCCCACCCTGCTCATTTCAGTTTAAATGTCATCTCTGTAAAGAAGCCACCCTGGCCACCCCTCTAATGGGTGGTACCCATTCTTCTCTAGAATCGTTCCCTGTTTGTTTCTTTTGTAGCATAAATAATTATGGAGAACTAGCTTGTTAATATTTGTTCCTTGCCCTGGCTGGTTTGGCCCAGCGGTTAGAGCATCAGCCCATGGACCAAAGAGTTGAGGGTTTGAGTCCAATCAAGGGCACGTACCTCAGTTGCAGTTTGGTCCCCAGCCTCGTGCTGGAGGCAATTAGTTGATGTGTCTCTCTCATGTCGATGTTTCTTTCTTTCTCTTTCCCTCCCCCTCCCCCTCCCCTCTCTCTCCCCCTCTCACTCTATCTGAAGATAAGTGGAAAAATATCCTCTGGTGAGGATTAAAATATAAATATAGGTGTATGTTCCTTGAGGCCAGGGCCTTTGTTTTGTTCATGGCTAGATTCTTAGTGGCCAGATCAGCTCCCAACACATGCAGTAGCAGGCAGGGAGATATTTGTAGCATGGATTAAGAGTTGTGTGGAAGAAGTGGGAAAGGGGCAGGTCTATGTGGAACATGGAGAGCAGGGGCCAGAGCATGGATGCTCAGATTGGTCCTGCCAACCTCCACCCACCTCTGCCCCAGGAAGATGAGCTCAAGTGCCCCATGGTAGTCCTGGCTGGACATTACCTGCTTGGTCGTTTAGCTGGTTATAGCTCAGATCCAGGGACTTCAGGCCCGTGTGGGCCCGCAGGAGTTCAGCAAGGTACTGGGCTGCCTGCTCCTCAAGGTTGTTCCCTGCCAGCTGTACCTTCTGCATGGCCGGGTTTGCCATGAGGGCGGCACAGATGACCTGGGCTCCCACCGCTCCCAGCTGGTTCTCGGACAGGTCCACATCTAGGGATTGGCACCACTCCTCAGTCAGTGGGACTCAAAGCCAGGCATCATTCTCCTCTACCCTACTTCATCCCCCAAACCTCCAGGCCTGAGGCAGCAGAAGGGCTTTGTAGCCAAACTGTCCAGGGATGCATGGTGACTCTGGCACCCATCAGCTGGCTTCCCTGATGCCCAACTCCACCCCATGTGTCCAGAAGCTTCTTTGTCAAGGGGCTAAAACCACCTACTTCCTGTTGCTATGGAGAATGCTGGTGATGGAGATGCAGCCACCCTGTTGATCATTTATGCCTGACAGCAATACAACCCACCCACAGAAGCTCTCACTGCTGCATTTCTGGGAACTGACAATAATAGCCTAGGTGACCATGCTCAGAGCACCTATGTGAGCTAGATACGGTTGCAATGATTCTCACCACATCCCCAAAGTCTAAATGGTATTGTTGGGCCATTTCACAGATTGGAAACTAAGGCTCACCAAGGCTGAGCTCCTTGCCCAGGGTCACCCCACTCATTAGTGGCAGAGGCAGCATTTGGATTCAGCCCCATCAAACACCCACCCAACCCTCCTTCCTCTCACTCTGCCTAGCCCCCTCCTGTGTATCAAAAGACTCTCCCACCCATTCAGGCGCTGGGAGGCCACCATATGAAAAGTGTGCTGGCCAGAGGAGGAGGTGAGTGGGTGGGGTGGGGTTTGTCAGGAAAGGAGTGGCATCCAGCATTGGGTGCTCCACGGAAGGTCTAACTCCACCCTTGTCATGAGGCCCCTCCCCAACAACACCAGCAGGCCCCAGGTGAGAAGGTCTGGATGGGGGGGGGGGGGATACCCCTCAGGAAAAAAAGGACTCAAGTCTGCCCACTTGCCTTAGGCTTGGCACCTACCACAGATGCTGCTGCTTTTGCTCAGGGCATGTGCCAGGGCCTCCGCGCCAGCCCCACAGAGCTCGTTGTCCCGAAGGTCCAGCCATTTGATATAGGGATTGGAGGTTAGTGCAGAAGCCAGAGCTCGGGCCCCCTGGGACACAGAGGGGCTGAAGGGTCTGATTGTTCCCAGCGTTCCACCAAGATCTCACCTCCTGAAGCCTTTCCTGACCCCCCAGCAGATTAGGTGCCCACTGCAGTTTCCCCAGCCCTGTACTGAATTCGGTCATAGACCTGATCCCACCCAGTACCCAGATGTGGGGGTGGGGCAAGCCTGGGACGGAGCAAGGCCAGGGAGTGTGTGGGAGGGGCTCAGGAAGGGGGCTACACCCATGGCTGCTGCCTCCCAGGTCCTGTCCCTCCAAGTGTGGCCCCAGGGTCCCTTTAGGGTACCTGGGGCCCCAGGCCGCGGTGCCGCAGGTTCAACCTTGGGGCTTTCCCTTGGCGCAGAAAGCAGGAAGCGGGCACGACATTGTGGGCCCGGCAAGACCTCAGGTAGAGGTTGTCCTTAACCAATTCTCCAAGCCCATGGGTGCCTAATAGGAGACAGAGAAGAATGTGGATCCCTGTTCAGGCACAGCCAGCCAACTTCCAAGGGTTCCCCTGTCCTCTGTCACACTACCCAGCATTTCATTCTGCAAGCCACACTTCGGATGCTTCCAGGAGCATTGCAGGGAGGGCTCGGGGCTGGGTTGAAGGTGACCCACGGAGGGGTGCGCTCCCTGCTTTGCTGAACAGAGGCCCCTGTCCACTCAATCCCAGCGTGTCTCCCCACTCCTGCCGAAGAAGTCCCCAAGGTGAGGAGACCAGCCTGGCATTGCCGGCTCAGAGGCACCTTCCTTCTCCAGGTCGGAGTCCGTATCTGTGTCCGAGCCCTCAGCCTCAGGGACCCCTGCAAGACTCCCAGTGGCCGCTGTCGCTGCCGCTGCCGCCTCTTTCTCTTGCTCTTCATTCTCCCTAGACTTCTCGCACTGACTCCTCATGGTTACGCTCCTTTTCCTTTGCTGGCACTGAAGCCTGGACTGCGCGCAGCCCCCCGTAGAGTTAGGAAATTTGGGCGGACCCTCCGGCTTCATCGACCAATCGCACGTGGTGTGCAGCGAACAGGCGCCCGCTGCAGCAAATAGAGACCGACGCAGTCTCCCCGGCAACCCGGTGTTGTTGGGTTGCTGCAGAAACCTCCGCTGGTCTGCCGGGACTTAGAGTTGGCTCCTAGCCAGGCGCAAGGCTGGGCGCTTTGCAGGAGCTTGTTCTCCCTGCCGTCTGCTGCGGTTGCAGCATCGCCACCGTTTCCACGGACCTGGGAAGAGGCCTGACCCTGGGCTTTTAGTCCCTGCGCTTGGCGGATGTGGGCAGATTTGCGAGGACATCACACAGGAGGGCTTGGGGAAACTTGCAGAGCCTGGCCACCCTCCTCTCTGGAACCAGGGTCACGCTCTCTCTAGGCCCCAGTTCTCTCTCGTGCTCTAGCGTCGTATATGCAGCTTCCTCCACTAGGAACATTCCTCCCTAACTTTGTTGAATTTCAGAATCTTCAAGTGTGAGTTCAGAGGTCACTTCTTTCTAAAGCTTTCCTTGACCATTCCTCTGGACTCCTGCAGCCCCCAGGCCATCCTCTCACACTCATCACTCAGGGAAGTAAGGCCAGAGGGCAGGGGACAGGGGCTGCTCCTCTCTGTGTGCCCAGGGTCCGGCAGAGGTTGTCTGGAGAGGCACAGGGCAGCTGGGGATTGGGACTGAGCCCAGGACTGGGGGTGGGGGTGGAGGCTGGATCCTGCCGACAGTGGATCCTGTCCCTTTAATAGCTGCTGGCCTGGTCCTCCTTGGACTCCTGCTTTATCTCCTGTTCAACTGTGACTGCAGCTGCTCTGCTGACTCATGTGCCCCAGTAGCCAGCAGGAGCTGCGAGCATGGGCTCCCCAGGGGCCTCTGCGGGCTGGGGGCTTCTGGATTACAAGACTGAGAAGTATGTGATGACCAGGAACTGGCGGGTGGGCGTCCTGCAGAGGCTGCTGCAGCTTGGGGTCGTGGTCTACGTGGTAGGGTAAGAGAATGGCTCCTGGCCATGTTGGCTGAAGGGACACGATGGGTCCTGCTGGGCTGAGGGTTGAGGGTTTGACTCTTCAGGGACTGGGCTGGTGGTAGTGAATGGGGTTGGGGGACAGGTTGGGACAGGGTAGTGAGTAAACAGAAGGAAGGATCTCTGTCTGTATAGGGGCCAGTGAGTGTAATAACAAGCCAAGTACATGTGTCTTCCTGTGTGCCCACCTGCTTCTTCTCCTGGGCCTTGTCCCTAGCCCCGTGTTGGGCTCTGGGCACAGAGCAGGATGGGTTCCACCCTTACCCATGAGGCCCTGGGCAGGGCAGGATGTAGACCCTGACATTTGTGAAAGCTGGAACACTGAGGTCTCCGGTAGAGACCACCAGTTCTGGCTGAGTCAGGGAATTTTTAAGGAGGAAGCTGGGTTTAGCCAGGGCAAGGGGAGGGTGTTGGCTGGTGAAGGGGGTGGTAGTGGGCATCTCCAAGTCCATGGGTGCCTAATAGGAGACACCCATATGGGCACTGGCTCTCCGATGCATGACCTGTGCTTCTGGCCTGTGCAGAGTGTTTGGGGGGTGGGAGGATGAAGGTGGAAAGGAGGCAGTGGACCTGAGTCATATACTGGATGTGAGGGAGAGAGACTGAGAAATTAGGGCCCAGCTCTGCCACTGCTCACAGTGTGCCAGGGACACACCATAATGCCCATTGCCTCCTTCCCAGGTGGGCCCTCCTCGCCAAGAAAGGCTATCAGGAAAAGGACCTGGACCCCCACATTTCAATTATCACCAAACTCAAAGGGGTTTCTGTGACCCAGATCAAGGAGCTGGGGAATCGACTGTGGGATGTGGCAGACTTCGTGAAGCCGGCACAGGTGGGTACCTCAGTGCTGTCACCAGGCGCTAACACCTCTGATACCACCATTGCAGCAAGCATGTGCAAGAGAGGCAGGAGGCCCTGGCTGGTTTGGCTCAGTGGTTAGAGCCTCGGCCCATGAACCAAAGAGTCGCGGGTTCGATTCTGGTCAAGGGCACGTACCTCAGTTGCAGTTTGTCCCTGGCCTTGGTCGGGGTCGTGCAGGAGGCAACTAGTCGATGTCTCTCTCTCTCTCTCTCTCTCTCTCTCTCTCTCTCTCTTCCCCCCTCCCACTCTATCTGAAGATAAATAGAAAAAAAAAAGAGAGGCATGTGATATCAGACAAGGGTTCTGGCACTGTCACAGGGCTTGGCTTGGGAAACGCCTTACAGTGGAGTGGTGCCTGGACCCGTTGGGGATGTGTAAGAAGTTTCCAGGTGACTGAGAGCAGGGGCCAGGAAGCCAGGCCAGAGCCACCACATTTACAAAGGCTGCATTTGGGAAAGAGTGGAATGTCTGGGAACTTGACATTGAGCTGGAGCTTGAGGGTGAGGTGGAAGGAGCCTAGGGGGGCAAGCCCTAGAACTTCCTGTATGTGCCCCTCCCTCACCAGGGGTGCTGCTGTTGGGCCCTCCTCCTCTGCCCCTCTCACACTGCATTTCTAGCTGCTTCCTTCTACCCAGATTGTCCACAACCTGTTTCCACTTCTGTCCTGCTGATGTCCAAATTGTAGCCCCAGTGACCATCTGCCCTGAGCACAGTTGCCTCCTGGGTGCACACCCACCATGTCCAAAGAGAAATTATCTCCCTCTCCCTGGTGGCCTCTTTTCATCCACCAGTGTCAAAGCTGGATGCAGCTTGACACCTTCTTGTTCCTCATCCCCGCCCTATCCATCCCCTAACAGTTTTCACTGCTGCTCATGCCATACATGGATGAAGCTGTGGTCTTCTATTGGGCCCCAGGTGCACCCACGCACCAGCCAGGCTGAGCTTCCACACGTGACATCAGAGCCTGCCAGCTCTTGCTTTCCACCCTTGGAAGGCTCCCTGTCCATGATGGTAGCTGCAAGTTCCTCCAGATCCTGACCCGTGTCATAGACCTCAGCCCTCTGCCCAGCCCTTGCCTCCCCATCCTGGGTGTACATTCCCCCAAGTTCACAGAGCTCTCATGCTCAGCATGTGGGCACCAGCTACCCTTCCTGTCTTTGGCCACCATTTGCCCAGCCAGAGCTTAGTACCTGCTCCCCTGGCCCTTGGCCACACATACAATGAGGGGCCCACCTTCCCACCAGCCTGGGTGGGTGCCCAACCCAACTCAGTTCTGGATCTTTAGTGTCTACAAACAAGAGGTTCTTAGAAAATTCTGATTAAGCTAATGAGAGTGAATATGAGAAATAAACTTGTCTCATAGAGGTAGATGTGGGCTCAGAAATGGCCAGAAACCCAGCCAGCCTCCTACCACTCCCTCAGCTTGCCTCTCGGGAGGCATTTTCCTGGGGCACAGAGTTGATGACTCGATGGGGCCAGGGTTCCTTCCCTCACAAACCAAGCTGCCGGCTTCTGTCCTCTCGCACTGAGGGAGCCATGCAGGCACAAACCCTTACATTTGCCTTCTAGGGAGAGAATGTGTTCTTCTTGGTGACCAACTTCCTTGTGACGCCAGAACAAGTTCAGGGCAGGTGCCCAGAGGTAAGGTTGCCCAGGAGCCTTCCAGAGGGTCCCCAGCTCCTCTTCCAGCCCTGGGTCACCAGCCATGTCCTCCCTTCTCCTTCCCAGGGTGACTGGGAGCTCAGTATGTGCTACTGTATCCCAGGCACTGGGATAACATTTTGAGTAAATAATTTCATTTAGTTTTCACAAGCACCCTGCCTAGTAGAAATTACTGCAATCCCTCCCAGCCTGTGGGTGACAGGACTCCAGACCTCTGAGAAGTATGCTTCTAGAGCCTTCCACTGTCATTCCCTGTGGGATATCCAGGCCCCTACCCGTCCTGGTTCTGCCTCTGGGCACTCCCCAGGTTGTCAGTGCGACACCCAGAGCAGGGCTCAATCCCCCGGTGGGCTCTAATAGCAAAAGCCAAGCTGGGAGATCACTTCCCCTTCTCTGTGCTCAGCCTCTATTGATGTGTCCCCAGGCAGTTTTCATTTTTGTGGGCAAACACAGCACGCTCTTTCTTATGAGTTCAGGCTCACTTATGATCTCTGGGTATTTTTCACTGTGACTGTGGTCAAGCAAGAGTCCCCACTCTCTGTTCATTTCCCATACAGAAATGCAGATTCTCCCCCTGAAAGCTCACCTTTTCCCCTCACCTGGACACGTTACTGAGCAAGGGCTTGCTGCCCAGTGCACATAGAAGCTGACACTATGGTGCCAACTTTTGAAAAAGAAAGAGTTTTATTTGCGAGCGTGGCTAGCAAGGAGACAGGAGGCGAGGCTTAAGCCTGTCTCCTGGACCCAGGGCTCAGGGTGGGATTTTGAGGGGTTTCAGCACCAGGTCTTCCTAGACAGCAGACCCTTTGCTTCTGAAAGGTCTCCTGCCTTCAAGTTCTGGTCATATCTTTGTCCTTTGGTTCTTTGCAGGGGAGCAGTTAGGGTTCACAGGTGTTACTTGTGAGTGGTATTCCAAAGTTTAAACTTTGGTTCCAGGTCTTCTTAGAAACAAGATAGGACCAGTTTGAGCTGGTTCTGTGGTTACAAATCCCCCCTTTTTGTCCATTACTCAATCTTGAGGAATAGGGGTGACAACTGCTCTAGCTACTTCCTTCTGATAAGGGACAAAGTAAGTCAGGAAGAATGAGAGGAAGCATAAGAAAGTAGAATACTAGGGCCCTGGCTGGTTTGGCTCAGTGATTAGAGCGTTGGCCTGCAGACCAGAGAGTCCCAGGTTCGGTTCCCTCTAAGGGCACATACCTCGGTTGCGATTTGTCCCTGGACCCAGTTGGGGTCATGTGGGTGGCCACCACTCGATGTGTCTCTCTCACATTGATGTTTCTCTCTCTTTTTCTCCCTCTCTCCCTCGCACTCTATTTGACAATAAATGCAAAAATGTCCTCTGGTGAGAATAAAAAAAGAAAAAAAGTAGAATACTAG